AGTTGCACTATTTTAGCTCCTACATATGATTGAGAGGCTGTAGTATTTGTAATTTTTGCTAATTTCACTTAACATAATGATCTCCATTTCTACCCGTTGCTGCAAATGACTGAATTTCTTTCTTATGGCTGAATAACATTCCAGTGTGTATATATGTGCCACATTTTCTTTATCTGTTCATCCATTGGTGGGCACTTAGGTTCATTCTGTATTTTGACTGCTGTAAATACCACTGCAGTAAACATGGGAGTGCAGATACCTCTTTGATATATTGATTTCCCTTTTTTTGGAGATATACCAAGCTGTGGGATTGCTGGGCCATATGGTAATTCTGTTTTTAGTTTTTTGAGGAACTTCATACTGTTTTCCATAGTCACTGTACTAATTTTCATTCCCACCAACAGTATACTGGGATTCTCCTTTCTCTGCATCCCCACCAGCATCCATTATTGCCTGTCTTTTGGATAAAAGCCATTCTTACTGGGTGAAATTATATCTTGATGTGGTTTTGATTTGCATTTCTCTGATGATTAGTTAGTATTGTTCAACATTTTTTCATATGTCTGTTGGCTATTTGTATGTTCTTTGAGAAATGTCTTCAGCCTTTTACCCATTTTTAAATTGGACTGTTTAGTGCTCCAGTGCGCAGTTGGGTAGCGCATGGTACTGATAAATTGGACTGTTTTTGTGTTTGCTGTTGTTTGAGCTCTTCATATATTCTGGTTATTAACCTTTTGTCAGATGGATAGTTTGCAGATATTTACCCCCATTCTGTGGGTTGTCTCTTTACTTTGTTGATTATTTCCTTTGCTGGGCAGAAGCTTTTTAGCTTGATATTATCCCATGTGTTTATTTTGGATTTTGTTGTCTGTGCTTTTGAGATCTTATGCAAAATATCTTTGCCCAGAACAATGTTTTGGAGCATTTCTCCAATGTTTTCCTGTAGTAGTTTCATGGCTGTTATTTAAGGCTTTAATCCATTTTGATTTGATTTTTGTATATGGTGAGAGAGGTCTAGTTTCATTTGTCTACTTATGGTTGTCCAGTTTTCTCAGCACCATTTATTGAGGAGACTGCCTCTTCCTCGTTGTATATTCTTGGAATCTTTGTCGAAAATGAGTTGGCTGAAAATACATGGATTTATACAGGGTGTCCATAAAGTTTGTGTGTCTGTTTTAAATGGCACATGAATTTATGGACGTCCAATATATGAGTTCTCTATTTTGTTTCATTGATAATGTGTCTGTTTTTTGTCTATGGCCATACCACCCTGAACGTGCTGGATCTCATCTGATCTTGTGATAATGTGTCTGTTTTTGTGCCAGTGCTGATTTGGTTACTATAACTTTGTGGTATATTTTGAAGTCAGGTAGTGTTACGTCTTCAGCTTTGTTCTTTTTGCTCAGGATTGCTTTGGCTATTCAGGTATTAGGGTCTTTTGTAGTTCCATATAAATTTTAGGATTTTTTTTCTGTTTCTGTGAGGAATATCTTTGGTATTTTGAAAGGTATTGCATTGAGTCTGTTATTACCCGTTGCTTTGGGTAATATTGTCATGTTAACAATATTCT